CAGGCAGAGCCCGGCCCCGCGCTCAGGCCAGGCCGCAGTGGCTGCCGTGAGCTTCCCTTTCGTTCCCCCAACTTATTCATCACGATCTTTCCCCCAATCCGAGGCCCGTGGGCACAGCGTAGGCTCCCAGAGGCCAAGGGCGCAACCCGAGGCCCTAGACCCAAAGCCTGGAAATGAGTTGCTATTTGACCTCTGGGCCGAGGTGGGCCGGAAACCGAGGCCTGGGTCCCGCCGGGGCTGCGAGGGGAAGGCGAAACCCTGAGCGAGGCGAGTCCCTTTCCATTCCACTCCTTTCTCCCCAATCCCCAGTGCGGGGCCCACAACCGCCCGGCAGACTCGCAAAGGATCCCACCAGCTCGGCCCAGGCCCCTTTCCCTCAGGCGCTGGAGGCCGCGCGGGGAGAGGGAAAAGAAGACGGGCAAGATTGGAGAATATTGCTTCTTCCCCCAGTCACGGGGCAGTAACTGGGAAAAGGCTGCCAGCTCACATCCCCTCTTCCCGGCCAGGACTGTGTTCCCAACCCTGACCCGCCAGCGCCGTCTGCTCCGCAAATCTATCTTCCTCGTTTCACAGCGTTCCTGCCCTGGTCCTGATACTGCCGTGGGCAGGAGAACCGGGTTCCTACTTACAAAGTCAAAACCAAAACAAAAGCGAGGACCGGCTGCTGTTGACCTGTTTTTTTTTTCCTTTAGTCTTGCCTAGTTGTTTGTTTTGTTTTGTTTTGTTTTAAGAAAGTCACCATCTTCTTCTCTGTCCAAAGAGAACTCGCTTAAGAATCCGCCCCATCTCTGCGTCCCTCCCTGCGGTCCCTGCCTGACTCAGGTCTCCACGGAAGGAGAGAAGTAGGGAGAAGTGCGCTCGGGGCTGGGAAAATTAATCCGAATAACAACAATAGAAATGATGACAAAACTAAACTTTGACCAACTCATTTTTCGAAAGAGAGGGTCAGACTGAGGGTGGGAATGTCCCTGGTTTCTCAGGGGCGCACTTTCCCTCCTGCCTAGTTAAATCTGGCTCTATTATATTTTTTCCAGGGCTGCAGTATCTGACTTCCCAGCGTCTCCTTCGATGCCTCACTTCCCCCCTTCTGACCGGATGTATTTGGGAAGGAGACGCTGTGGTGTTATTTTAATACCCACTTTTCTCCAATATTTCCATAATTATTACTGCTACTTATTTCACGTAACATCGTGCCCGTTGGTGTTGTTGCCTGTGCTTTGGAAATGTGCCTCCTGCTCCCCAAGTTTGGCGGATGAGGTTTTTGTCCCTCGATCTAGTTCATGAAATGAGAAATGGAAACGGAACATGGTTCCGGGGGCCCAGCTGGGATAGCCGGGCGCGAACGAGCTGAGCTGGGGGTGCAACGGAGCGCTCTTCTTGCCCCTCCAATCTGGGGGTCCCCAGCGGGGAGAAGGGTGCGGGTCTTGAGCTGAGAGAGCGTGGAGCCGCCCATCCTGTGTGCTGAGCTGAGCTGAGCCGGAGAACTCCGGCCGTATCTGCCGCCCCGAACCTAGAAGGACCTCAGGGTGTAGCCACCAGGTCTGCGTGGCCAGCACATCCCCTCGGCCTCCAAGATGAGGGGGGAAATACACAGAATTCCAGGCTGTGACCCGGGAAGATAGAGACTCCAGGTCTGGGGTGCAGGCGGGGGGGCCTGTCTGGAGACCCCCTCCCTCAGCAGGAGGGTGCAATGGAAACTTGGGAGCCCGCTGCTCTCGGGGCTCTGGAAAGACAAATTTTCTTTGGCAAAGGGAACGGTGTCGCGCTGTCGACACGGCAGACTATTTTTCTTGTTCCCTCATAAGGAGGGGTGGGGGGGGAGAAAAGAGAGCAAGAAAGAGAGGGAAATTAAATCCACACGTGTTAAGCTTGCTCAAAGGGCCGGATTCAAAACCAGAGATGAAACTGCGCCTCCAGTTCTGGCTGCTCGCCGGCCTCTTTCCAGCCAGCCCCAGCCGGCGAGCAAGGCGTCCCCACCGGGGAGAATTCGATCCGAGGTTTCATAAA